TGTCTCTCTGACCTTCCAGTATTCACCCCAATAACTGGCCTCAGGTTTGATTTTATTAATAAGAACTTTTAAGATTCCTGTGACATGCTATCACTGCCAGACTTCAACTAAATAGCTTGCTATTAGCTCTGACCCCCAGGCAACTTTACTAACATACAAAAAAGTCACATTTCAGCACAAATAAAATATCACCATAGGTGTAGGGACACATATTTAGAATTTTTTAGGGATTATTTATTAAAGTGTTATAGGCTTTCCTTCAAGATCCATGACTTCACTAGCCCTAAATTATTGACTAGGTTCCCAATACAAGGCAGATTTTTCTCTTCTTGTGCATATCTGAAGTCCAGGTAGAGAGCTATTGGTTATTGCCAAGCTATTCCCACCACTATTTCACCCTCAGAGTTATCATATTAATGGTGGTCATTGCTGTGTTTCATAGTTGTCATAGCTAGGTGGAACTATTGGTTGGTTTTCTCCCTTGCATGGTGTTTTCTGGTGCCATGAAACTAGTCCTCAAGGAGGAGGCACTTAAGTCAGTTCAAGATATGTCTGGGAAAATATTATTAGTTGTAAATGTTATAAACAATTTAAGATGATTTATCATAATGTCTATATGAAACAACTATAGAAATATACAGAAAAAAGTATATATATATATGTGTGTGTGTGTATATATATGTGTGTGTGTGTGTGTATATATATGTGATGCCAATAGTTCATCAGATTTAGAGAGGAAAATAAAGCAAGTGAAAGGCCAATATAACAAAATATGAAGATAGATAAAAGAAAAATGGTTTTAATTTTTAAAGAAAAAGTTAAGTTATATAAGAGAAGTAGAAGATAACTGGTAATACATGTATGTTCTCAATTTCCATTAAGACACAAAAGCCTAAGATCAGATATAGCATTGTAGCATATTAAAAATATCAATTAAAACTCATAAAAGTTAGTTTCTATAGCTCAATAAAAATGATTAGAATGCTTATGTGTGTTGCTAAGAGGAAAGTCACAGTGCTATTAATTGCTCTGTGAAAAGGTTAAATGTATATTAAAGAGAGAGCAATGCAAAGTTTGGTAGCTAATTTGGAATTGTTAATTATTTTTGTAATAGATTATGTTCCTGATTCTTTTGTGCCCTCATGTCAACTAAAGTAAAAGAGGTAAATCACCTCATGTATTCTAAGTGAATATTTAATGTAATTTATATTTTTTCATTACTGCTATTAGTGCAAACTGATTCTCTTTATTCAAAATTTTTAAAAACAATTTCAATGGGGGCAATGTTTAAAGACTTCTTTTAAAACTGATTGGCACATGTTCAATTTTCTTTTAACTTTGAGAAATAGCGTTGTGTGATATTAAGAAAAATTATTCCTTAGAGATTTCTTCTCAAGATCATAATATGCTTAAAGAATGTCATCAATAGTCTATCATGTCAATAAGTAACAGTTCTCATTCATTTTCTATTGGATAATATGTAGTATTAAATAATAACCATTACTGTAAGTACTGCTAACAAAGTCATTTTTATATTCTATCCCTATTCTAGCCTAAATGATATAAATAATAGAAAATATTAATTGAAAGCTAGATTAATATTTTTTAAGCTCAAGCAAATCAAGGGACTTTTCAGTGCTTGCCTTGGTGACATAGGTATTCATGACAACTCCTGATCCTTCGGCATGGAAGTTTAGGATCAGACTTAATTATTCCCAGCTAACATGGAACCTATTGAATAGTTTGTTCTATGAGCAACACATTATATAATACATGTTACATACATTGTACAAAAAAATTAAAGAGATTGTCAAGGGTTACCAAAAGAAAACGTATCCAAATATCACTTGAAGACTTACCAAATATCACATAGTTATTAAGAAGACTGAAGTGTGCATTTTAAAGTAAAATTATATAATTTACAACTCACGATTACCTGAACAATGTAAAAAGATGCATCCTTAGAAGGACAGTATTTACAGTGCTATATTTGGTTCACAGAATCACAGACACCAAGCACATGAGAAGGGCCGGCTTGCTTAAAATACAGAGTACCTTTGCAATACATGAACTAGAAGAACTAATTACATGTTATAGCCTGTTGTAAATCAGATCATTCTGACATATTTTTACTTTTTGAAACTCAGAAAAGTTCCTCTGAATGTGTTAATTATAGATGAAAATTAAGGACTTAGAATCTCTAATTATAATGGTTTCCCCAAAGTCACCCTATTGCTTGTTAGATGATACTCTATACTGAAAATTTGATTCTGTGGAGAGGCAAACTTTCCAAGTAGTTAAGCCTAATCAAGCAGGTTGGTGAACATCACCTTGGGCTTAATGTAGGCATACTAGCAGTTAGCAGGCCTTCACTTGACCTTGGTAAACAGTAGTGCTTGGGCTTAGGTTATGAATGAATGAATGAAATTTTATGTGTTTATGTTTGCTCTCTATCTTGTAGAAGCTGTCAGTCCTCAGACACAGGCCACCTTGTGTGTGTGTGTGTGTGTGTGTTTATTTTGACATGGTCTCTCAAAGGGCAGGAACTTTCCTTGTAGGCGGAGCTGGCTGGACAGAGAGCCCCAATGATTTGCCATCTCCTACCTGCAGCTGGTGTTATAAGCTCAACCTTGACAACACACGTTGCTTCTTTGTGCTGGTTCTGGGGCTCTTCTCAGGTCCTCATTCTTCCAAGGCAAGCGTTGGCTGACTTAATCATCTACCCAGCCCTGTGCAGTACATTTAGAAAAAAATTGTCAGGGCTTCCTTTTTATGACAGACTGTTTCACAGAATTCCACTACTGTGAAACATTTGACTTTCCAGTCCATGGTAAGTTTTTTTTATACACAAGGAAACATTTCAAATGATCATAGCATAGGACCATTTCTCTCCACTAATCTGCTTTCTGACTACCTTTACCCAAATAATAGCAATGGCTGATGCCCTGTGTGTGAGGTTTCATTTGAGGGTTCAAGAGCACCCCATTACTATATGGGTTTTAGCTTTATCACAAACCAAACAGAAATGTCAAGTTATTGATATAGTAAAAATAAATGATATTTGAACCTGTCAACTGTATGAAGATTTTTAATATAAAAAAATCAACTCACCTTAATCAAAAACTTAAAGTTTAAAATATCATGACCCTGATTAAAAGCTTAAATATCTTGTTTCTTCTCATCTATACTAGGTTTTGTATCTTTATATATTCTCCAAATCCTTTTTATCATTATTTTTATTTTTGTGTGTGTTGCTCAGAATTCATCTCAGCAGTAAAACACGGCACCTGAGGAACTGCAAACTCATCATGCTGATGTTATAAAATGTAATATCGGTTGTGCTAAGCAACTTTTAAATGTTTATGCACATGAGAATGTTGGAGGCAAAGGGAAAGCCTAATAAAAT